ATCACGATGTTGAAATTTAGTTTTAAAAAAGTGCTGTCATAATACAGTATAACAGGTTTAATAACTTTTTTCTTATAACAAAAATAACTGAACATTTAAATGCAATAAAGCAATACAGAAAAATGTATAAAGTTAAAAGTTTTACACAGATTAAAGTGCAAAAGAACTATAAAGACCAATAGGTATCACTTTACAATAAGACCTCATTAGTTAACCTTAGTTAATGCATTAACATTCACAATGAGCAATAGCTACATTTGCTACAGAAGTTATTAATCTTTGTTTAAAAAATACAAGTCTTAGTTCATGTTAGCTCATTAAATAACACAGTTGCAACTTTCGATTTTAACAACGTGTTATTAAATATTGTAATTACCTAAGATTAATGAATGTTCAGAAGAATTTTTCATTGGCAGTTTGTTAACTAATGAATTAACTAATGTTAACTAATGAAGCCCTAATGTAAAGTGTGACCGAACAATAAAGAATCAAAACACTTTCAAACAATATCTAGGGCATGTTGTAGTCCAGATTAAAATGTAAAAAAAAGTTTGAAAATAAATAGCCTATTAAGTCTAAATATTTAAGTATTTGGCGCTGTGATGAACATCATAGCAAATACATAAATCTGAATGGCTGTTTAAATCATTTAAACACGATTCAGAAACCGGAAGTAGTGCAGCTGCTTTGTTTACAGGGTTTCCGGGGTAACGGCTGCATTTAAATGAATTATTATTATTATTATTATTATTATTATTATTATTATTATTATTATTATTATTATTATTATTATTATTTCTGCAGTTTAGCGCCATCTGCTGTCAGAGAGTGAACGTGCGCTTTCATCCAGAGCGTCTCTCATGTGTTCCGCCATGTGCTTCTCGTCCGCGCTTGTTTACATCAGAGTGCGCACGCGTCTTTCACGCAGCATACAGCGGTGTTGTGCATTTTGACCAGTTTATGGGAAAAGTATTCTTAAAATGCATTCAAAATTCTGAATAATTTGTAATATATAATTATTCACGGTATTTAGAAGTGCCCACGATAACAATATCGTGCATATTCATTACCGTGATATATCGCATTACCGAATACCGGCACAAGTCTACACTAAATTTGCCACAGTGAATACTGCTATTAAAAAGAATACATCAAAACTGCTTTAGATTCTTGTCAAAACAAGGTAGTTTTTTCTGAACAGCATTTATGTTTGTAGCACACATGCAAACCCCTAAAGTTGTTGCCTAGTTCGTCAGCTCACTATATTTTGGTGCGGAGCAAATATGTCAACATTAACCAGCTCTGTTATTGGTTCATGTTTATTTCTGAACAGGTTACTACTTTGAGATCCCTTCCATTGGAGCCATAAGAATCAACACACAGGTTAGTCATTTCTACTGCTTCTTATTTTATATATATACACATACAAGACATGTTAAATGTTTGGGGTCAGTAATATGTTTTTAAGAAATTAATATGTTTATTCAGCAAGGATGTATTAAAAGTGGCAGTAAACTTTCAATTTATCAAAGAATCTCTGAAGATCTCAATGATTTCTGAAGGATCATGTGACACTGAAGACTGGAGTAATGATGATCCTTTTAATGGTGGTAAAATCACTGTAGAGCATGGCCTCGAGTGGCTCATTTCTTTTATAAAACAGCAACAGCCATGTGAAAGACAATACTGATGAATTAAAATAAAGAATTTATCTTCAGCTGATACGCGTTCACAGGTGTGCTCATATCAGCTTCAAAAGTGGCTGCGGCAGCCAATCAGATTTTCCATTTTAATAAGGCCTCCATACATGAATCCAATTCACTGTACGTTCATTCAGCTTCGCCAGCTTTGAAGCTCTATGATGTTATCACAATTTAGAGATATATATGTCACGCTAGAGAGCATAGAGAGAACTATAAAGATGAACGGATAAAGCGATACAGACTTCTATATTTAGCGTCAGTAAGATTCAAATGGGACTGTGATTTCTCTAATCCACTTCCGTACAGTTTTCATTATCCTCCAGCAATCTTTCCCGAGGCCCACGAAACCTGACGCAATAACATCGCTCTTCCCCGAAAGCATTCGGTCCAATTTCCCACCTCCTCTGTGTGATTATTCAGTGCTCTTCACTTCTCTTCAGGCCTTTCTTCTTTATCTCCTCTCTATCACCTTTTACTATCTGTTCCCCTCTTTTTCCATTCCAGCTTTGCTTTATTCATTCGTGTCTCCTCCTTCCCATCCCGCCTCCCTCTTTTTCCCCTCGGCGTGCGTCGCACCTCCCCGCAGGCGAGCTGATCAATAGGCCATCAGCTGTTCCATTAGGCTGAGTGTAATTTTATTCAGAGAACTGCCACTTATTCTAATAGCCTGCGTGAGACAGGTGTGGGCATCTAACTGTATATATATATATATGGACAGCAGCAGCCACCACACCTGTGCAGCTCCTCAGCACCTCCTCCCCTGTCACATACTGTTACCTCCGAGAGCCGTAGACGGCCGGTGCCAAAAATAACTACCAACTGCACTTCCAAAGCAATCGCTTGCACATGCTGGTGGATTTCTGACAGGAAAAACTATCCAACCTGCAAAAAGTTCTTCTAATGAATGTCTAATTACATAGACAAGTCAAATTATTTATATAGTGCTTTTCACGATACACATTGTTTCAAAACTGCTTTATGGTAAATCATGGTGTTGAGGCTTATAATATCTTGAATATCTTCATGGTTTATAGTCGCATTTAGCAGATTATAGCTGGGCAATAATATAGTTTACATTTTGAAAGGATACAAGCAATTTAGTCGTTGAGGGAGTTATTATTTTGTGTAAATTAGGGTTAACTAAAACCATTTAAAAAGATTGTTACTTGAAATAAAAGAAATTTAAACAATAAAAATTATTTGGTTTATTTCAGCTACCACATTTCTCATTTTCATTCAATTGAACTTTATGTACTAAAAAACAAAAAATTAAATAAAAATACATACATAATTAATTTAAAAAACTGTATAAACATTACAAAGTAATACAAATGACAAAAAAAATTATAAAAATTACTGGAACGTTAAATTTAAAATGAAAATGGAAAATATAAAATAAAAACATTCAAAATTTTAACTTGAATAAGATCTCAATGTCAGTGGTCTCAAATCTTACTAACCCCAAACTATAAAATATATTTTTTTTAAAATATTTTATTGAAAAAAAAGTATCTTGTTCACCAGGGCATTATTTGTTTGATCAAACATACAGTAAAAACAGTAATATTGTGAAATATTATTAAAAATTTTAAAAAGTGCTTTTTATTGGAATATATTTTAAATATTAATATATTTATGATGCAAAGCTGAATTTTCCAGTCCACATGATCCTTCAGAAATCATTCTAATATGCTGATTTGCTGCTCAAGGAACATTTTATTATTATTATCGATGCTGAAAACATTTATGCTGCTTCATATTTTCGTGGAAACTGATCTTTTTTCAGGATTCTTTGATCAATTTAAAGTTTAAAAGAACAACATTTATTTGAAATTGAATCTTTTGTAACATTATAAATGTATTTATTGCCGCTTTTGATCAATTTAGCTGAATAAAAACATTGATTTCTTATATTTTATTGATGCTATACTTTTGAACGGTAGTGTATATAGGATTATTTTATCATATAATACGTTTATGCTTAAATTGAATTAATCACATGCAGCATAAATACCCAGATTATTAGTGCGATTGGAAAGCTATTGAGGTGATTGTGAAAGTGTTCAAAAGGCTGCTGCCTTTACCTTTACTCTCTACCTGTGTAACATTAAAGTGTCACATTGCTAAGTATAATGAGAACAATATGAATATGATTGCAGCTCCTTCATAATTGAGTTCATGAAGGTTTATGAACAGACTGGAAATCTACAAGCGAATCTGTGCGGTGGCCTGCTGTGTCACTGCTCTTTATCCCCTCATACCGCCATTATACCAGCCCACCGCTGTTTACCTTTCTCCTTTCTCCCATTTGAAAAGGTCCGCCTGTCATCGTCTCTGCTGAAATGTGTCCCCACGGCACGTTAAACGGTGTTTTAGTGAGCTAATAATAGAATAGGTTACGCTTGTCAGCACTTCCATGTTCCAGCAAGAAATAAAAGTGGCCTAATGCAGTTTCATCAAAAGGTCACACTTACTCAAGCTGCTGGCTTTCAAAGAGACAAAATATTCCCCACATGAGTTTCTGGCCCTCCATTAGTTGTGTTAAGATGTTGAAGTTGAAAGATTGCATTTTGAAATGTGTTTGCCCAGCCCGCCATCGACATAGAGTGGTGAAATTCATGAAATGTCACAATAAACAGGAAAAAAAGAAATTATATTTTGTGTAAAAGCTCTCACAGGCACTGAAAACATGGACATTTTAGGAAATTTGAAAACACAAAAGTGGTGAAATTATAAAAATGTATAATAATAATAATAATAATTGAAAATAAAATATAGCTAAACGTGGATATTTCTATAGTAAATGTAAGTTTATAAATTAAGATAAAGTATTTCTAGGATTAATTTGAAATTATTGTGACAATTAAGTATATCTATCTATCTATCTGTCTGTCTGTCTATCTGTCTGTCTGTCTGTCTGTCTATCTATCTATCTATCTGTCTGTCTGTCTGTCTGTCTATCTATCTATCTATCTGTCTGTCTGTCTGTCTGTCTATCTATCTGTCTGTCTATCTATCTATCTATCTATCTATCTATC